CGCGTCCCGGCGACCGGCACCCCACCTCGCGTCACTCTTCCTCACCTGGACGCGCACCCGCCACCGCGGGTCCTCTCCCGGCCCGGATCTGCCCGGAGAACATGGGGACCGGGGCGGGCCAGAGTGACGGACGGCGCTCCGCAGAGGGTCGCATGGCGGGACCCTGCACAGTGCTGGAAACAAACCGAGGCCGTCCCTGAAGTTCGCCCTTCTGCTGGGACGCGAGGACTAGAGGGAGACCGAGCTGGAGGCACCCGGGCCTCCTGTGACTGTGGCCCCAGTCCCTCCCGTGCTCCCCTAACCCCTTCCCCGTTTCCCTCACTCACTCCGCTTCCCTGCCAGTCTAGCTCCGTCCTGGCCCTCGCTGCACACAGTTCACCCCGTCCCAGGTGAGGAGGCCACCTGACTTCGGGACATGAGGAAGGGGCTGGGCTGCAAGTCCAAGCTGGACTCCGAAGGCAGAGGAAACCATCTGCCCGGACTCTGCCAGTATTGAGAAATTCAGGTCCACTAAAGTCATCAGCTCCTACTCTGAATTAAACGCTGTCACGCGCACCGTCAGCATATGCAGGAATTCTGGTCTAGCTTATTACCCGGCCTTTCTCTCTGCACATAAACCTATCAGATGACCCTTCCCTTCCGTGGGTGCCTTTGTAGGATGCGGGGCAGAGGGGCTTAGAGTAGTAGGGAAATCACCTTGAATACCCGAACATGTTGGCATTTTAAGGGTGGAGAGAGGGCTCAGGCTTACACTTTGTAAGTCTCTGATGTGTTTCCAGTTCTGAGGCTTCACTTGAGAGATTGGTTGGTTGCTTTACTTTTAATTCCCAACCGCTCCAGAACTTACTAGTTGGAGACATAGTATGTCCAGAGAATTATCAATAGCTATTTTAAAGGAGTCCAGTCACTACTGAATATTCAGGATAGCTTCTCAACTCTCTTTCAATAAGTTATTGGCCCAGGCTCAACAATATACTCTTTAAGATAGTTGCCATGAATTTATCATTTAAAAAAAAAAGAATTATTTTATTTAACTTTATTTATTTATTTTAATTTGACCAGAGAAGGACAGAGCAAGAGTGAGAGCAAGAGAGAGAGAAAGGGAAAAAGCCAGCTGCCAGGTCTGGGACGCAAATCACAGTCAGCCATGTGGGAGTCCAGCACCCTTAACCGCCATGCCACCTGCCAGCCCCTAATTGATCACTTTTAAGCAGTTCTAAATGTCTGAATACACAAATAGAAAGGAGATGTCATAAGACATTTTATTCCAAGAAGAAGTGAACCCTTCCTAGCCTAGTCTGATGAAAGGAAGAATAATCTCAAATTTCCTGCAAAGAGGAGGTTACCTTTGCCTAGCACACTCATTCTGTTACCCTGTGGCAGGATGAGAGAGTCAAGCTTGGCTCCAATGGGCTATTGTAATAGAGCTATTCTATAGTAGTCAGCTTTAGAGTATACCCAGTTTAAGGGATCTTAATACGCTAACTTTTACAGTTTTCACTTCCCAAACTCCTTTCCATCTGTTGGAAAAATATGTAACTATGATACGTTGGTCTATAACTACTGGTTCTAAGGTGCAGGCAGGGTGAGCCTGGGTCAGGAGAAGTATGTAGGCTACGGCTGAAGGAAGTCTCTGTTTCTTTATTTTTTTATTTTTTGAGAGGTTTTTGCTATAGGGCATGTGCGCTCGCCAGAAAGACAGAGAGACAGGAAGCGAGAAATCACCCTCCAGGGGGGATGGCCACGCCCGCAATCCCTTCTCCATTCTCCTCTTGGGATCTTGGGCACGCATGCACATGCGCCCGGCATGATTTAAGCCACCGCGTCTGGGACTCGAACCATGGTCGACTACGTGGGAGTCCAGTGACATAGCTATTACACTAACTGCTGGTCCCAGAAATCTCTGTTCTAATAAGCGAAAACAGAGGTAGAAGACAGGAGAGATTGAGGGTTGTGTGTGTCAGTTTGCTAAAGAGAAAAAACAACAGGTTGACGGCCAGAGATCACAAGTTTGGGAATGGAGAAACAGAGATTGAATCTAACAGAAGAGAGGATGAAAAATGAGATGAGGCTAAATCTAGAGTTAGAATTTAACATGCAGGTAAATGTCAGGCCAGGGATACGGAAATTCTAACTAATGTTTTTCTTCTCTCCAACCCCCCTTCCCACCCCCAAGCTTAGAATGGCAGAAACAAGTCTGCTGGAGGCCGGGGCCTCTGCCGCGTCCACAGCTGCGGCTTTGGAGAACCTGCAGGTCGAGGCGAGCTGCTCCGTGTGCCTGGAGTACCTGAAGGAGCCTGTCATCATCGAGTGTGGACACAACTTCTGTAAAGCTTGCATCACCCGCTGGTGGGAGGACCTAGAGAGGGACTTTCCTTGTCCCGTCTGCCGGAAGACGTCCCGCTACCGCAGTCTCCGGCCTAATCGGCAGCTGGGCAGTATGGTGGAAATTGCCAAGCAGCTCCAGGCTGTCAAGCGGAAGATCCGGGATGAGAGCCTCTGCTCCCAGCACCACGAGGCCCTCAGCCTCTTCTGCTATGAGGACCAGGAGGCCGTCTGTTTGATATGTGCAATTTCCCACACCCACCGGGCCCACACCGTGGTGCCGCTGGACGACGCCACGCAGGAGTACAAGGTGGGAACCAGACCTGTGATGCCAGTGTGGGGAGAGGGCGGAGCAGTGAGGTGGTGTTCTCCCCTGGGCAGAGGATTATAAGCTCCTGAGGGTAAGACTGTACCTGGTCCCCACACTTCAGTCCCCTCAGAATGACGTACACAGGGCCCAGAGTGAAGAAAGCAAAGTACTTTCCAATTTTTTCTAAGTTTGATTTTTCTGAGCTTCATTAGTTTATAAGAAATGCAATAAATACATTTTGGAACCAGCAGCTGGTGTAATGGCTATGTTGCTGGACTCCCACGTGGTTGACCGTAGTTTGAGTCCCAGACCCGGTGGCTTAAACTCATGCTGGGCATGTGTGCGTGCATGCCCAGTATCTCGAGAGGAGGATGGAGGAGAAGGGATTATGGCGTGGCCATCCTCCCCAGGAGTGATTTCTCACTTTCTGTCTCTATCTGTCTCTGTCTTTGTGGTGAGCACACACACCCTATAGCAAAAAACTCTCTCTCAAAAAAATTTAAAAACGAGATTTAAGGTTTTAATAGTATTAACAATCAAGTTATTGTTATATGTATAGGTGGTTAAAATTGGATTAAAGTGGGACCAGCAGGTGAAATGGCAGTTAAGGCACTTGACTTCCACATAGTCGACTGCGGTTCGAGTCGCAAACCAAGTGGCTTGAAAATCACCCAGCACATGTGCATGTGTGTCCAAAATCCCAAGAGGAGAATAGAAGACCATGACCATCCCCCAGGAGAGGGGGGTGGATTTCTCACTTTCCCTCTCTCTGTCTCTCTTTGTCATACTCTGGTGAGTGCCCCATGGCGA